TCCCTGGTCTGAAGGAGCTGGTGTCCCTCCACCTGCAGAGCTGCGGCATCAGGGCACTGCAGCCCGGGGCGCTGCGGGGCTTGGGGAGCCTGGTCTACCTGTACCTCACCAACAACCACCTCTCCACCTTGACAGCCGCCGCATTCCAGGGGGCCCCGCAGCTGGCCTACCTCGACCTGGACCACAACGCCTTCACCCGTCTGCCCGCGGGCGCCTTCCAGCTCCTGCCCAACCTCATCTCCCTCCACCTGCAGCACAACACCATCGGGGAGCTGGCAGAGGGTGACCTGGCTGGGGCCAAGGGGTTGCACTGGCTCTACCTTGCTGGGAATGCCATCAGGGACATAGCCCCTGCTGCGCTGGCTCCCACCAAGATGCTGGAGAAGCTGCAGCTGGAGGGAAACCATCTGGTGGAGGTGCCCACGGCAGCCTTGTGGGGCCTGCCCGCCCTGAGCGAGCTGAAGCTGTCTCAAAACCCCATCAAGCGCATAGGGGACAGTGCCTTCCTGCCAGTGGCCTCCAGTCTGCAGTACCTCTACCTGGACAACATGGGCCTGGAGCAGGTGAGTGTGGCAGGGGACCTCTGAGGGGCAGTGGCACCACAGGGCACAGCCACAGCCCCCATCTTGTTCCACCGCCCAGGGCTGGTGGCCCCTATAGGGTCATCCAAACAAGTGTCCCCAAATTCCCAAGACTTCAGGAGATGTTCCACAGCCTGGCTGGGAACAGGTTTCTCCAGGCTCAGCTCTAGCATTGCTTTGCTCCAACCTTGCCCCCAGCTTCCCTGGTACAGGCTTACTCCCTCCAGTCCTTAAAGATCCAATTTCAGTAGGGTTCAGACTATTACCCAAATCACATCCTTCCCCCGGCCCTGGCCAAATTTTTCCTTCTCTTATTACAGGCTGTCCTACGGGACTCTTCACCACTATTACCCTGAATATATCCATCCTCTCAAGAAAGTGGTGTTAGCAGCACCCTCATAAGGACTGTGCATCTTCACAGCACCCAGGAATCACTCTGAGACCTCCTGCATATTACCTTCTTTCTAAGAAGACTGAACATTGGTCTCTTCTGTCCCAAAACATGACTGAAACTGCTCAAGCTAATTAACAGTCCCCTCTGTCTAGAGCAGCTCTTTCATGGGGCCACTGGGTTCAGTCCAGGGTCTCAGCCCCTCAAGCTGATCAGCAGTGCAGGGGCAGAGATTTGCGCCCCTGCCCCCATCAGGACCCCCCTGACTCATCCTCCCTCCCCTGCAGATTTCCCCTGGTGCCTTTGCTGGCCTTGGGCCCAAGATCAGAAGCCTTTACCTGGAGCACAACAAAATGAGCAACATCCCTGACATGCGTAACTTCACGGGGCTGGAGATTCTCAACCTGCAGGATGTGCCTTTCCACTGTGATTGCCAGCTCCTTCCCCTGCGCAGGTGAGTGCCACGAGGGGGGAAACAGCCCCAGGGAACAGCCAGGGTAGGCAGCTGGGCCCTACCATGCTGGAGGCACAAGCTCACAGCACACTGGCCAATTTGGGTCTTCTCCCATGGTACTGAGAGGGAGCACACACCTACATGCAAGGATAGAAGTATCTTGGGCTTTTGTGGTGTAAGGAAAGCAGCCACAAACTGGGGTGGGTGAATATGGAGCTATTCAAAGGTCACCCAGGTGCAACCCTGATCAACTTAGCCTGACTTTGAAAGTGATCATCCACTCATGGGCAGAGTTTCTCCTCTTCCTTCCCCCAGCCCATTCCTTTCCTTGATCTCCTGCCACATTTCCAGGTGGATCGACAAACTCAACCTACGTGTAGGTGCCACCTGTGGGTCCCCTGCAGAAGTCCAGGGGCTGAAGGTGAAGCTCTCCCCCACCTTCCAAACTTGTCCTGGCTGGGGCCAAGGTGAAGATGCAGAAGCCAATCCTGAGAAGAATAAGGCTACAAGCAAGCCCAGCAAGAAAAATAGATGGGGAAAATCTCCAGCCCAAGGCTTCAAGAAGAATGGAGTTTAGGGTTTCCTAAGGTGTGTAAGACATACGTGCAGGATGCAACAGGGCCATACCTACATTGTGGTGAGAGCAGTTTTTCTAGACTTGTCCCTATCATGGTGTCACGGATATTGCCCAAGGCACAAAGGAGAGAGCCTGGTGCCACCAAAAGGATGCTGATTTGCCAAAGATACAAGGTTTGTTTTTGCAGGACACAGAGGTACATTCTATAGAGTCTGAAGTATGTCTTGATGACTCAAAACAACTTCCTTTTTCTTCCCAAGGCTTCCTCCAGTCACGTTGAAAAACTGGTATTCGTAAGTTTGTTTTTAAGAGCGCTGAGCTTTCACAGCTTCCAAAACCCTGAGCAGGACTGCACCCAGCACCAACCAGCCAGGGTCTTGCACTGGTGCAAATCTTTTGCTGGAAAGCTTAAAAATTATCAGTGAAAACATTGCCTGAATTCCCAGCAGCTCCTCATAATTAAAACATACGCAGATCAAAACTTTTCTTCCCTGTAAAATTCAATCAGTGGTCTGATTGGTGAAATGGGATCAGTGATCCCCTAAGTGATCCCAACATAACCTATTCCCCATGGCAGTCTAGGCTGGGACCTCCAGGTCCAGAAGAAATTTGTTCAATTTGAACAGGCTTTAAAAGATAAACATTAAACTAGCATGTGGGGCATGGAACTCATAGAATCACCAGGGTTGAAAGAGGCCTTTAAGATCAAGTCCAACCATTAACCTGTCACTCTGCTGTAACCCCTAAACTGTATCATTCAGCACCACATCCTGGTGCCTCTTAAACACCTCTAGGGATGGTAACTCCACCACCTCTCTAGGCAATCTATTCCAATGCCTGTTACAGAAAAAAAACCAGGAGAAAAAGCCAAAGGCATTTGGAAATTACCATACTGTAGAGGTGGCCCAGCTGTTTGGCCAGGCTGGGAAAAGGCACAGCCCAAGAGGGAGGTGAAGAAAGACAATGGCTTCACCCTGAAATGAAATCCTCCCACATTAGGACATCTATTGCAAGCAGATGAAAGGCAGACCTGTCAAGACAGGCAAGCAGTCACAGGGAAGCCCACTACATGCCTTCCATAAAAAAATCCACCTCCCCCCAGCCATGCTGATCCCATCACAGTTCCTCCAGGAGCCCAGAGCTCTCCCAGCGGGCAGCTGGGGATGGGCCGAGATGGCACAGCTCTTGTGCCTGGTTTGACACAAACCCTCCACACTTTTCCACTCGTGTTTCATTGTTCTCCCACAGCCTCTCCTTCCCTCTCCAGTTAAACAGTCCATTTGCCTCTTTAAAAGGGAAAAGAGTAAGACTGTGTTAATTACTCCCAGTGTCTACCCTGTGTTTTCTAGACAGTTAGATTGCCAACATTAGGTTGGTCATGAACCATTGTGCAAAGCAAGAGCTACTGTGGCAGCTCAAGCTCTCTCCTGGAAGCTGGAAGGGAGCATGGTGCAGACAGCCATTTTGTGGCCAAGGCAGTGTCCTGAGCAGCCACCACTTCCCTGCAGGGTTTGCCACAGCACTTGCCCTGCAGTGGCACTTGCTCACCTGTAGAAAGTTCACAGGAACTTCACATGAGAGTTAAAGCTGTTTTTCATCACTGTAGTCACACTGACTTTTCTGATTTCTGTCCTGAACTTTGATGGCCAGTCTGGGGAAAGAGAGGAATGTTAACAGTTTTGCTGTAAATGGGAAAAGGCATCACCACCTTCAGTTATCTTGTGATATTCAGTCCTTAGGCAGAACTGGCAAGTAGACAGCAGCCCCTGTCTCATGCTTAAAAAAAAAACCAACCAAACCCCAAACCAACCCAAACCACGCCGAAACACTGTTTCCTTATACTTACCTTTTACAGTCCTCTTGTCCCTGTTTGGGCTAATGAGGTATTCTGGTGACCCAGAAAGCAATAGACAAGCCTTTGGCCTCTTCCCCACATTTAATTCACAGGGCTTTAGGGTACAGATCATAGATCATATTTACAGTAGGACTGTTACAAAATTCTGTATGCAAACTGTGCTCCGAGTCCTCTGCAGTTCTGGGTTCAAAGGCAAGAAATGATGGCCAAGAAGTCTCTTACTCCTTCAAGAGGCATCATCATCTCTTTTTGCTTTTTCATCTCTTTCTACTCTTCCTGTCCTGACTTTCTTGGGGGTTGCTGGGCCTAGACCAGGGAGCACAGCACCATGTCCTATGAGGGCAGCCCATTTCCTGACACATGTGGCCTGCACACATCACCTCAGACTGCAGCTCATCACCTCCAGCCACAGCCAAGAACCCAAGCTGCCCCTTTGTGCTCTGGTAGCCTCTTTCTCCATTGGGAGCTCCTGCTCCAAAAGGTGCCTTCAAAGCCCAAGCAGCCACCCTGGTCCTGCTCCTCAATGTGCTTGGGACCTTTCTAGTATCTATTTCCCAGGGCTTAGTATTACAAGTCTGGGGGAATCTTCTTGCACACCAGGAAAGCAGAGTTGTGATGCTGCAGCGTGGTCTGCTTTGAAAAGGGAAGGCCCTTTTAGTCTTCTGCATCCCTTTGCTCCTTCCCCAAAGGGCCACAAGGTGAAGCTGCTGTGGGCAGCAGGAGAGATACTCCAGGATCAGTTCGTGACCTCCTGCTTTATGCTGCTGATGGGAACAGGAAGCTTTGTGTCTCCAAACTCTGCTTCTGAGGGGTCAATGGTTTCTTCTTTGACCTGCACAGCAATGACTATCAGGAGACAGAAAGAGAAAAGTAAGTAAATAAAATCAACCCATGCTGCCTTGCGCAGGTAGTGCACCACTTCCAAACCAGCTCTGTTCATGCCGATACTCAAAATGCTCCATGTTTCCAGCCCACCTCTTGAGGATCCCTCACTACAGGCAGCCCTGTCATGCCAGTGCAGATCTACCCCCAGTCACAGCAACCAGGACCAAGATAAACCCTGGCAGCATTCAGCTACCAGCTCCCAAGAACAACTTCTCCTAGGGCCAAGGGAGGAAAAGCTGGTGTGGTCCATTGTCTACCTGCCTGGGTTCACATAGGGGAAATTCAACTTCTGTGAACAACAGGGACTGTGTACAAGGTGCCTCACCCGCCCTCTTCCCCAGCATCCACTTGGGTTGGCAGATGGTGCTGTGCACAGTGGGCTGTGCCCACATGCTGCCACAGCCCTTATGGGGATTGGGATGTGACAGCACACGTCTGACACGTCCATCTTGTCTCCTCTCCCTCACAAAACCAGACTGCTCAGTGGGCAGTCAGGCCCTCAGCAGGTATCAGCAGTATTGAGGCATCCAGCTGCACTGGTGCCACTAAACCTCCTCAGGGGGTAAACCTTCCCAAGGAAAGCAAAGAAAACGCTTGTCCCTTACTCTCATCAGGTGCTGGCTCTGACCAAGCCTTGCTGGCAGCTTTTGCTTCTCGTTTTGTCTTCGGGGTGGAAGGGCTCTTGGCAGTCTGCTTGGCGCTGCGGGTTTTGATAGGCAACTTTCTTCCTTAACAAAGAGATAAAAGAGTATGGGGGAAAGTGTGTTTCTTTTACCCTGGAAAATCAGCAACCCTGCTCCACCTTGAAACCACTCGCCAAGGACCAGCACAACTGAACAGCAAGCTACATGATCATTAGCTGCCAACTGGTTACTCAACAGAAATGGCCTACTGGAGAAAAACTCTATAGTCATCATCTCAACACATGCTCCTCCGGGTTCTCCTTCATTAAAGGCAAGGCACTTCAGCACGTGCTTAACTTCCAAGGAGCAGGTCCTGTTGGAATCAGTGTGGAGTCAGCTTTGCTTACCTGTCTGGGTCTAGTCCTAGGCAATGAGCATGTTGGCTGCAAGGCATGGACATTGTAAGAATAATGTTCTCTGTTTTAGCTGACATTTTTATTTAGGTTGAGCTTCTTTTTACTCTTTGTCCTTTCCCCTCCAACCCCCAGAAAGGAATTTCTGGTCTGTCTAACATGATTTGCCACAGCTACTGCAACAATGACAACAACAATGACATGATGAAACAATAAAATGGTCCAGCCCCACTACTGGCCTCTTCAGCCCTCTGAAGGCCTTCCTTTCCCTCAGCACAGAGCAGGCAGGGTTGCTCTCCAGCTACCCTTCAGCTGCAGCAAACATCTCCCTCCAACCATGAACACACCAGAGAAAGCAGCACAACCTCACACCTGGAAGCAAGTGCCATGTATACCTCTGCCAACAAAAAACAGACTGCAGAACAGATCCTTCCCACACAGCTCTCTCTCTCTCTCTCTGCTCTTTAGGTAACAGGGCAGGTAAGAAGGATGAAGCTGTGTTGGTAAACCCACAGTTGACTGAGGGCATCCACAGCAAGACAAGGCCTCTCTCTCCTGCTCTGATGGGACATGAACAGGGTTCCTCTAACTGGGCCCAGCCTGCGAGCGAGCGGGAGGGCACTAATCAAACATCACTCACTCTTCTTTCCATAGGGTTTCTTCTTCTTCTTGGGCACCTCCTTGGCCTTCACTGGAGTTGTGGGCTCTGTCATGGAGACGAGAGGGAAACGAAAGCCAAGTCCCATAACCAGTAGGTAACTGGGATGAAGTGACATAAGAGAGAAACAAGATATCCCCGTCCCCCCGAGCCAAAGCCCTCTTCCCAAGACAACCAGCTGAGGGGAAAGCAAGGCTATAGTGCAGTTGCTGTCTGTGCTTCCAGGCAAGGGCCCAGGTCGGCAGGCTGAGGCAGCACAGGGGAGAGAGGCCCAGTACAGATTTGGCAGGGGCAGTAAAGAAACAAGATTCATAGTTTAGGAAAAGAAGGAAAGCATCTACAAAGGTGAGGCAGTGGCCTCCTTGTGACAAGGGAAGGAATAAACTCTCGAGAGGGATGCTCTTACCTTTTACAGATGGAGTTGATGAGATAAGGAGGCAAGGGCCAAGCTCCCCCTGCTATCTGGCTGAGGTTATAGGTATGCTTAGTAAAAGGGAGCTGTGCAGGGATAGGACCACCTGGAACTCTACCCAATTTCACCAATTCTCGGTGTGCAAGTGGGGCAA